AGTCCTCCACGGGTATAATATCTTTATTGTGCTGATGGCAGCCCCATTTGCAGTGGCCACTGTCCCTGGAGGAGCTTAAAGCTGAATGTCCACACCCCAAACAGTACAGATCCAAGCTGAATGAAGCCTTTCCACATGTTTGTGGATTCGGAGAGGAAGCCAGAGAACTCATAGAAAACTCACACAAGCATGTAGAGGACATAAACAGCAGAACGTTCAGAGATATTGGGGATTATGATGAATCCTTGCCTCAAATGGAGAACCCAGTAATGCAATTAGTGAATTGCCTGAAAATTCCCAAAGCTAGTAGGATCATGTTAGCAAGTGGATGGGGGTAGAATTAATAGGCCAGCCACCCTCTAGGTTATTTAAGATACAGACTTACAATTGTAGGGCTTACTGGTGATTTGTGATTTTGTACACTTTGCTATGTTATTGTATGTACTATTTTCTGCATCCTCTGGCAAAGTTCCCATATCTTCTTCTCAGATATGTTTCTTTTTTTTTAGGAATCTTATGTTCTAATGTACATGACGATTTGCTCACTTCTTTTGTAACATTTTAAAAAACTGATAAAATCTTTGCAAAATAGGAGAGGGGTGGCACAATATCAATGGGTTCTGTGTAGAAATGACTCCTTGGGCCCCTACTTATAGCATAATGTAGACAGATAGTGCTGCAGAATATTGTGGTGACTAATCCACACTGCACCTGCATTTTACATTTCATTCATAAAATGCAGAACAAAGTGTGGAGCTTTGTCCTGCAGATTGTTCTCTTCATAATGATACAGAGAGCCATCTGAAACAGGAAAAAAAAGCTTTATCAAATGACCTGGCAAAGATTTCCTTTCTTCCAACACTCTTTTTTGATTCTTTAGAATGAGAAAGGACATTGCTAAGCACATCAAGCGGAAAGCACACTTGTAATGTTATGTTTTAAAAATGTGCCAGATAATTTTTGTTTTGAAAACAGTGGTATGACTACACTTATGCCATACCACTACGTTATAAATGGGACAGATATGTTCAAGCAATATATATATTATTGACTCCTGGAATTTTGTGGGGGATACACTCAACTGTCACATTGTTTTCATAAATACATGTTTTCCCTGGAATCCACAGACACCCTTACAGTATTTGATAGAATGTTTAAAGAGGGTTTGAGTATCTACCACCTTCTCTCATTGATAAACAAATTATATGTGCAAATGGGAGTTATACTGTGGACTCCCTTCTGGCCAAAGGTTTACAATCCTCACCTCTCCTCTATAAGCATGAATTTAGTTACAAACATATCTAGGCAGTATAAATCTCCAATTAAACTGGCCATCATGTACCCAGGCTCTTCCCAACTTACTGGCATGGCTGCACTTATACATGTTCCTTGATGCACATATGGTGATATAAACAGAAAATTGATGTTGCGCTAATCACAATAATGCCACAGACATTCCAAAACAAATAATGAGATGAGAAGACAATAAATAATAGACCATAACATAATCAGTAAGTGGAAGGAATATGGGAGTGAAGGGAAAGGTGAAATAATAATGAGGACCAAAACGTGTAACGAACAATAAAACCGTTACAGTGGGCAAAACGCACGGAAATGATCAGGGAGAAATAAAATATTAACTAAATCACGGTAATAGTGGGACATATGAGTCCGTCATAACATAAATGAAATAACGTGAATACAACTAATGAGAAAGTGGAGCCAAATGTGAAATATACAAAATGAAGTGCTTAAATATTAAAAGTGGACAAACCACTTATCACAGAAAAATGGCAATAATAACAATAAAGGGTCAAAACACAATGTACATCAAAAGGCCATGTGACATAAAACGACTAATAAGTGACCATATAAATACCATAAATAAATGTGCCAAACATATAGAGTGCAACTAGTATAAAACAGAAAATGGTGATACAAACGCACAGTGAAACCAAATGAATGTATTACTGATTTAGTCGAGAACTAAAATGTCCGGTGCTTATCTGCTCCTGTCCTAATTTATGACGCTGTTTTGCTCTTGAATGGGTGCACATAAAGAAACTCACACTGACACGTTTGGTCTGTGAAAACTTCTTCTTTAATTTATTGAAATGAAAACATGAGTTTATATATGCCAAATGATGCGAACAGCACGTGAGAACAGCATAAGCATTATATTAGTCTTTGGTCATTTCTACACGAAAACAATCTTCGTCATAGTATAGGTGTGATCTTCTTCTAAGTCTTATCTATAGAAAGAAAAACATGTCGAAACCACACGATGGGAGGGGGTCGGTGCATGTGAGCAGACATTTCTTAAGCAAGGATTTCTTAAAGTACCACAAAGCCCAGCAAGCAGAAAATATACATACAACATATGTATTCATACAAAACATTTAGAAATATAAAAAAATTTGTATTAAAGTATAAAAGTAAATATTTATAAAATGTGTAGAAAAATGTATATATATTCAATAGGAAACCAAATAGGCATTTTACCATATCCATCACAGTCCCCCCTTAAAATGACTATTTTACTCTGTTCCTTTAAGACCTAGCTCATCTGTCCTTATGTACCTTGGAACTCTTTTATGCTGTACGTTAGACAGGTGATGACTATTTCATCACCTCCCTTGCCACAGACTTTGTACATAAGGAAGTCAGATGCTATCCCTACAAAGTTGTGAGATTACTGTTGGCGGGGAGGGACCGTAATGGGGTATAAGGTTTTTCTTCATCTATCATATGGAGATCCTCTTGCTCCTGGTTCAGGAAGGTAGGTGTACTGTTGTCTACATGTCAGGGCTCCCAGGTATGACCAGAGGTGTGTGACTGATGCAGGGAAACGCAGACTTCAGATATGTGATAAACAATACAATTTATTAACACTAACCATACAAACATAAACGCAGTGCAATACTAAACATAATACAGTGCAAACAAACCAAACCAAACCACCCACAGATAACAGTACATACAAGCAAGCGTCGTCAGGCAGGCCGGGTCAATATCAATTGGGCAGGTAGGTACAGGGGGAGCAAGCAGAGAATGGTCGGGGTCACAGGCCAGGTTCAGCAGGTAGCAAGCAGCGTAGTACAGAGGGTCAGGCAGAGGGATGGTCAGGGTCACAAGCCAGAGATCAAAACAGGTAACAAGCAGCGTAGTACAGAGGGTCAGGCAGAGGGACAGAAAAAGGATGCAGGACAGATACAGGGCCCCAGGACAAACACAACACCAAGGCAGAGTCTGTGGGTCTGGCCATCCCTTAAATACCCCAGCATCATCAGTTCCAGGTGTTAGCTGGCTGAAAGGTTGAGTCTCTGATTGCTGGGAGCATCCGCTGGCCAGCCCTGGTACTGCAGATCAAAAGGCAGGTGAGTCCCACCATTGCTGGCCAGTCCATTCCTAACAGTACCCCCCCCCCCCCCAAGGAGCGGCCTCAGGACGCTCCAAACAGTCCTAGCTGGGCAAAATGTTCCACCGCCCGGGTCTGGTAACTGGCGGGATATCAAAGACTGGCACACCGGGCAGGACTCCGGGCAGCGGCACACCGGGCTGGACTCCGGGCAGAGGCACACCGGGCTGGACTCCGGGCAGAGGCACACCGGGCTGGACTCCGGGCAGAGGCACACCGGGCTGGACTCCGGGCAGAGGCACATCGAGCAGAGGCACACCGGGCAGAGGCACATCAGGCAGAGGCACATCAGGCAGGACTCCGGGCAGAGGCACATTGGGCAGAGGCACATCGGGCAGGACTCCGAGCAGAGGCACACCGGGCAGAGGCACACCGGGCAGAGGCACATCGGGCAGGACTCCGGGCAGAGGCACATCGGGCAGAGGCACATCGGGCAGGACTCCGGGCAGAGGCACATCGGGCAGGACTCCGGGCAGAGGCACATCGGGCAGGACTCCGGGCAGAGGCACATCGGTTTACCAGGCGAAGCAGCAGGCAGCGGGCCACCAGGCGGAGCAGCAGGCACCGGGCCCCCGGGCGGAGCAGCAGGCACCGGGCCCCCCGGGCGGGGCAGCAGGGCCCCGGGCCCCCGGGCGGGGCAGCAGGCACCGGGCCCCCGGGCGGTGCAGCAGGCACCGGGCCCTCGGGTGGGGCAGCAGGCATCGGGCCCCCGGGCGGGGCAGCAGGCATCGGGCCCCCGGGCGGGGCAGCAGGCACCGGGCCCCCGGGCGGAGCAGCAGGCACCGGGCCCCCGGGCGGAGCAGCAGGCACCGGGCCCCCGGGCGGAGCAGCAGGCACCGGGCCCCCGGGGGGCGACAGGCACCGGGCCCCCGGGCGGGGCAGCAGGCACCGGGGCCCCCCCAGGCGGGGCACAGCAGGCACCGGGCCCCCAGGCGGGGCGACAGGCATCGTGCCCCCAGGCGGGGCGACAGGCATCGGGCCCCCAGGCGGGGCGACAGGCATCGGGCCCCCAGGCGGGGCGACAGGCATCGTGCCCCCAGGCGGAGCGGCGGGCGCCGGACCCCCAGGCGGAGCGACAGGTCTCGGGCCCTCAGGCGGAGCGGCGGGCGCCGGACCCCCAGATGGAGCGACAGGTCTCGGGCCCTCAGGCGGAGCGGCGGGCCCCGGACCCCCAGGCGGAGCGACAGGTCTCGGGCCCTCAGGCGGAGCGGAGCGGCGGGCGCCGGACCCCCAGGAGGAGCGACAGGTCTCGGGCCCTCAGGCGGGGCGGCGGGCACCCAGATGGAGCGACAGGTCTCGGGCCCTCAGGCGGAGCGGCGGGCGCCGGACCCCCAGGTGGAGCGACAGGTCTCGGGCCCTCAGGCGGAGCGGCGGGCGCCGGCGCCCCCAGGCGGAGCGACAGGTCTCGGGCCCTCAGGCGGAGCGGCGGGCGCGGACCCCCAGGAGGAGCGACAGGTCTCGGGCCCTCAAGCGGAGCGGCGGGCGCCGGACCCCCAGGCGGAGCGACAGGTCTCGGACCCTCAGGCGGAGTGGCGGGCGCCGGACCCCCAGGCGGAACGACAGGTCTCAGGCCCCCAGGCGGGGCGGCGGGCACCGAGTCACCAGGCACAACCGTGGGCTCCGAGTCAACTGGGATGACCGCTGGCACTGGGTCAGACATTGGATCGTCTGGCTGGACAGCGGGCATCGGGTCACCAGGCATCAGGTCATTTGGCTTGACAGCGGGCACCGCGTCATCTGGCAAGGCAGTGGGCTCCGAGTCAACAGGCACGACAGTGAGCACCGGGTCATCAGATACCGGATTGTCTGGCTCGACAGCGGGCATCGGGTCACCAGGTATGACAGCGGGCACTGGGTCACCAGGCATCAGGTCATTTGGCTCGACAGCGGGCACCGGATCAGGTACCGGATCATCTGGATCAACAGCGGGCATCGAGTCAACTGGCCTAATAGGATCGTCAGGCTGGATCAGTTCATCATGCTGGGTAGAGGCATCAGGCCGGGTAGAGGCATCAGGCCGAGTAGAGGCATCAGGCCGAGTAGAGGCATCAGGCCGAGTAGAGGCATCAGGCCGAGTAGAGGCTTCAGGCCGAGTAGAGGCATCAGGCCGAGTAGAGGCATCAGGCCGAGTAGAGGCATCAGGCCCGAGTAGAGGCTTCAGGCCGAGTAGAGGCTTCAGGCCGAGTAGAGGCATCAGGCCGAGTAGAGGCTTCAGGCCGAGTAGAGGCATCAGGCCGAGTAGAGGCTTCAGGCCGAGTAGAGGCATCAGGCCGAGTAGAGGCTTCAGGCCGAGTAGAGGCATCAGGCCGAGTAGAGGCTTCAGGCCGAGTAGAGGCTTCAGGCGAGTAGAGGCATCAGGCCGAGTAGAGGCATCAGGCCGAGTAGAGGCTTCAGGCCGAGTAGAGGCATCAGGCTGAAGAGAGGCATCAGGCTGAAGAGAGGCATCAGGCTGAAGAGAGGCATCAGGCTGCGTACCGGCATCAGGCTGAAGAGAGGCATCAGGCTGAGTAGAGGCATCAGGCTGAGTAGAGGCTTCAGGCTGAGTAGAGGCTTCAGGCTGAGTAGAGGCTTCAGGCTGAGTAGAGGCTTCAGGCTGAACCACGGAAGGCAGGCTCACCGGTTTGGATACTGGCAGGATGGTATTGGTTGGAAAGAATTTTCGCTTTTTTCTGGTTTTAACTACTGGAGCACTGCAAGTAAACGCAGGTCTGCAAACGAATGGAGCAGCTGGAGACAGAGAAAAACTGGAGGATGGTAAACAGGAGAGGGAGCAGTTGCTACAGAGGGCTCTTTTACAGGGTTAAAGGCAGGATAGGTGCAGCGAGTGGGAACAGGGTACTGACATGCGGTAGATAGCAGGGCAGGAGGAGCTGTTGGGAATGCAGGAATAGAGTTTTGAGGAAATAGATTAGAAGCAGGACTGGGTCTTTGTAAGCTGACTGAGGCTGGGTGCAACAAATCTGTCCATGTCTGCAGTATGGGTTGAACAAAGCTGAGCTTACACAAAGCCTGTCTGGTCAATGACTGCACTGCGTTTATACAATCTCTTAGTGTCTGTGGTGAACATGTGGAATAACGCTCCAGAAAGTAACCCCACATCATCCTCTAATAACCACACCAGGGACTCTACCTGGTCTGCACTAAATGGTGGCAAAAATTCATCCCTGCATTCGGGGGAACCAGATGAAACCAACTCAGCACAAACCTCAATCAAAGGCTGCACCTCAGAGAACTCTGTGCCCTGATCTACTAGAACATGAGCGAGCCGTATACATTCTAGCAGTTCATCCCGGGTATACTCCTTCAGAGTCTGATAAGCATACTCCCTGTCATCAAACACTAGCAGATATAAATATTCAACCTCATCAAGATCCATCCTTCCCATCAACAAGCCAAGATGGCTTCCCTGTGCAGCCACTTCTGGTCAGGATTGGCCTTGGTGTAATGTCAGGGCTCCCAGGTATGACCAGAGGTGTGTGACTGATGCAGGGAAACGCAGACTTCAGATATGTGATAAACAATACAATTTATTAACACTAACCATACAAACATAAACGCAGTGCAATACTAAACATAATACAGTGCAAACAAACCAAACCAAACCACCCACAGATAACAGTACATACAAGCAAGCGTCGTCAGGCAGGCCGGGTCAATATCAATTGGGCAGGTAGGTACAGGGGGAGCAAGCAGAGAATGGTCGGGGTCACAGGCCAGGTTCAGCAGGTAGCAAGCAGCGTAGTACAGAGGGTCAGGCAGAGGGATGGTCAGGGTCACAAGCCAGAGATCAAAACAGGTAACAAGCAGCGTAGTACAGAGGGTCAGGCAGAGGGACAGAAACAGGATGCAGGACAGATACAGGGCCCAGGACAAACACAACACCAAGGCAGAGTCTGTGGGTCTGGCCATCCCTTAAATACCCCAGCATCATCAGTTCCAGGTGTTAGCTGGCTGAAAGGTTGAGTCTCTGATTGCTGCTGGGAGCACCCGCTGGCCAGCCCTGGTACTGCAGATCAAAAGGCAGGTGAGTCCCACCATTGCTGGCCAGTCCATTCCTAACACTACAGCTTTGCTCATCAATTTCCTCACACATGGTATAACACAGCATACAACCAGGGCCAGGAGAATCAGAATTATTAGTACAGTTATCCCTATTTGGGCAACTATCTTTTGCCATCCACTCATCCAACTGAAATATTGATTCCACGAGTCTGTGATCCGTGAATTCTTCTTCAACTCAACTGACAAGTCTTCTCATTTCCTTATAGCCAGAGTAACCTTACCATTCGGGCCAGTATTGTCAGGAATATATGTACAACATGTTCCGGTTCCTTCTATCATTTTACAGACACCTCCTTTTTCTGCTAAAATCATGTATGATGAAGGGGCTAACTGGTCAACGATTCCTTGGAGGGCATCTCTGGTGTAATTCACAAACCTCTGTTGGTTGTAGTATATGTAATTTATCCAATCTACATTTTTATTAACAGTTATCATGGGAATCAGGGATTCGAAGCCTGCTTTTACTTGGTCTCTGGCTTTAAATTCATTAGGCACCCCCCCTTGGGACTCCAATGGCATCTATATACACAGGTGGGTCAAAACTACCAGAAGGAGCTTTTCACTTCCTCCTACGGCCAGGCATTGGGTCATGAGTATTCTCTGCTAGGATGTGGAGAAGCATAATGGCCTTTGCAAGAGCACACTCACCAGTCCAAATCCCTTCCAATCTGGTTCTAATCTTTTGGTCCCCACAGATCCAGTATATGTCACCGAGAGACTGGGTCTGATTCTGCACCTTAACCCCCAGAATACTGCTGTAGGTGTAACAATAACCTTCTGTAAAATTACCCAGAAACCTCCCTTTGCCTTTGTAATTAGAGTAACAGGTGTAATTCCCTGGATAGATAGTAATACCCTCTCCAGGCTTTGAGCTTTTAGTAACCATCGGATATTCCTTCTTCCATTCCTCACATGTGGAATGGTTGGTGGATGTGTTGGTGAACAGGCTGAGGAAACATTCCTCATTGTCCCGTGGGATTGAGAGAGGGACTGTACCTAAATGTGGCCTAGCACTACCACAGACATAACAATTATGTTTGTTATGCAGGCTGGCACTGAACCTGTCAGGAATTGACTCGCCAATAGTGGTGGGGACTCACCTGCCTTGTGGGTTGCAGTACCAGGACTGGCCAGTGGGTGCTCTCAGCAACCAGAGGCTCACTCCTGCAGTCAGCCAAAACACCTGAGGCTGATTGCAGAAGGTGCATATAAGGAATGGCCAGACTTGCAATCAGGGCCTTGGTGTATGTTTTCCCAAGAGTCCCTGTACCTGCATCCTGTCGGCTTCCTGTCTGATCCTGATTTATCCCTGACTCTGATTGAACTCCGCCTGTCCTGACCTCTGCTATTTCTGACCACTCTCCTGCCTGCTCCTTTGTACCTTGCCTGCCCGTTTGCTACCGACACAGCCTGCCCGACTACGCTTAGTATTGTTCTTTTGTTATCTGTTGGGGGTTTTGGTTTGGTTTTGTTTGCACTGTGTTTATGTTTAGTCTTGCACTGCGTTTATGTATTGTTTAGTCTTAAATAAATTATATTGTTTATACTATATCTGAAGCCTGCGTTTCCCTGTGTCAGTCCACACACCTCTGGTCATACCCGGAGCCCTGACAGAACCTCATCCACTCAAGCCACAGGTTGGTATCAGAAAAACCAGTTTCTGCGGCCATAGTGTCCTCAAAGGTGGGGATTTGCCATTGCCACCATGTCACCTATGGTACGAATGGAGGGTCTGAGAGGATTGACCACTGATTCTGATGAGCGATGCATGTCTTTTAGTTGAAGCCTTTTCAGAGAACCAGTTCCAGAAAAGCTGGTCCTGCCTAACCAATAAATACCTGCATCACCAGGGCTGGGATTCTCTATATTTATGGTGAGCCTTTCCCCCTTGATATTACACCCCGACCTCAGAAACTTCATACGGTCAATGAGGGACCTCCCCTTTCCATCTTTCTTGCTTGGAGCACTATGTTGTCTGTATCCCCAGGCTGCTCCCGTATTCCATCCTACCAATCCCCAATAGTCACAATTCTGTCCCCAATAATCATCCGTGACACATATGTATATCAGGTCACCACCTTTTTCACATACCCGCTGTGCCCAGTTAGGATCTGGAATGCCTCCGCACCAAGCGGGAAGTACACTACAAAAATCAAAGGTGAAGGTGGCTACATGAGTGTTGGATGAGTTGTACCAAAATATAGTGGTGTCACCTATCTTGGTGATAGCCACCTGTTGAGCCTCTGTCAGACTCATTAGAAAAAGGATATACAACACAATTGTCATGGTGTAGATGACGCCTGGATGTACAGCTTGTATTCTTATTAACCCTTCATCATATAAAGCTTGTATTATTCCCATACTGATGTGTATCTATATACTTAGTGTTAATGTTACAAGCTGGCTGCAGTAGTTCCTCTTTTCTCAATTATTTTGATTCATTTTCTTATTTTTTTCCCAGGAAGGGAATTCCCTCTGCTCACAGAGTCCCTGTCCTGGGTGGAGGCACTAGATCATAAGCGAAATCTCCTGCGCTCAAGGACCCAGGCGGGTGGTGAATAGATGGAACCAGACCTGGAAAGATCGACCACCAATGCATGTAGAGTTGTGCAGCTCCAAATAAGGCTGGGGAAGCCCAACCAATACTGCAAATCGAAACAAAAATGAGAAGCGCACCAACCTTGCGCATTACCTCAGTAGCCAAAGTTTATTGCGGATCCCATCATGGGGGTGGATACTCAGTACAGCTGACGCGTTTCGAAGGGCATGCCTTCTTCGTCAGAGCTCTGTAGCTGTACTGAGTATCCACCCCCATAATGGGATCCGCGCTGGCTCTTTATCTTTCAGGTCCCTCTGAGGACTTACATGCCTGATTTTATTCGCTGTTTGTGAGTATTATTTTATAATTAATAAACTGGGTGGAGGCACTGCCAACGTCATTATCAACCCAATTCTTCCACTTAGAGAAGGTTGTGGTTCACTTACCTACAGGTTCAGTATAATAGCC